TTTAAAATTAATTAACAAGTTATCCTAGCAAGTATGAATTACAACAAGATATATGAGCTAGGATAAGCAATATGAACAATGAGATATATCCTAGCAATGAGATATACTTGATAAGCAATATGAACAATGAGATATATCCTAGCAATGAGATATACTATGGGATATATGCAAGGATATACAAATTAAGCAATGAGATATACTATGGGATATATGCAAGGATATACAAATTAACACAAGGGTGAAATAAACATAAATAAGATAGTGGGCAAAGTAAATAATGAGACAATGGCGATATGAGCAATGATCACAAATAAGAATAAACGCCAAAGCACACTCAAACACAATCAAATAATCATGGAGTTCGGACCTTCTGTCCTACGTCTCCGCTCCCCACTCCCGGGGAGAAATCCACTATCATAATCCGGTTTGAAAGCCGGAACTTCTACACACTCGGTTTTCTACCAAACCAAAAACTCTACAACTCATACTTTTGCAAACCCACTCTACACCCTCACAAGTGTTGGACCTAGCCGTGTCTCCCTCAAGTGCTCGGTTACAACCTCTCCCTAGGTTCGTCAACCGACGCCACTCCTCTTGGGATGATCCCCGACTCTCACCACACACTCCTCTCGGTGTAAAAGTGTATTACAAAGTGATCTCACGATTTAGGCACAATAACAAGGTGTTTGTTCTCTAATACAAGGTGAGAACACAATGTAGGCTCACACTCAATGTCACACAAACCCCACAACCCAAATTATACAATGTATGACATCTCATTGGTTGCTAAAATAGAAGGGGGTTTGGGGGTTTATATAGGAAGAGGAAGCAACAGCAAAAACCCCAAGGGAAAAGACCAAACAGCCCAAGAATCAGAAATCTGATTCTGTACCAAAAGAGCCGTTGGGATAAACGGCGATCGACCGCGACGGTCGACCGCGAGCAACAAAAACAACGGGAAAAGCTCCAGAGACGAAAGAACTCAGGCGCGGTCGACCGTGGGAAATCTCGGGCTCACGGTCGACCACGACGGTCGGCCGTGAAAGTCTCTGCTGCCCACTGATGAAAGAACTCAGGCGCGGTCGACCGTGGCGGTCCAGTTTTGAAAGCTGTATATCTGATTTTGAAACACTGTTTAAAAATATCAAATAAATTCTAAAAAATATAAAACTTTGGAGAATGATTGTAGACATGATAATACACATGCTACAAAAACTGGTTTTCTAAAAGGACTTCCCAAATAAGAAATGTTATCATTTTGCAAAATAGTCCAAAACACAAAAATGTAAACATATGAATTTTGACATTTTAGGCTAAACCATGTTTTGAAACTTTGCACAATCATTATGTAGACTTAATAAAATATGTATATGATTATTGTTAAGTCTAAAAACTAAGAATACAATATTTTTATAAATACAATAGAAAAATAAAACATATGAGTATGTATATGAAAATATATTTGTTTCATATCTAAGTAGTTAAACCAAATCACAATAATAAATATGAAATATGTAATTTCATATTTGTAAACATGAAAACTCAAAACCATGCATGTATATATATAACTATATATATACATAGAAACCAAATACGTGTGTGTATATGATATTGAGCTTAAGGTACTTAACACACATAATATAAAACCTAAACTAGATTACCCAAGCCGATCTTGATCTTCAATAAGCTTGACTTGATACACTATGCGGATGAAGCTGAACTTGGATCTTGAACTTGAATTGCATAAGCTTCACTCCACAATTCCGCCAACCTCTATTTGATATCGTCGTTGAAGCGCTATTCCATCCATCCTCCAACATATTGTTTGCCTAGAATAAATATAAAACACAAACACTAGACAAACAATATTAGATGTAAATTGTTTATAAATCATCATCAAAACAAGAAAGCCAACAAAGTCGAGACCCAAACGGGAGTGCGAACACTCTCCCAAATGTGGTATCTACTTACCAAATCGGCTGTATCAAAACTGGCTGCCTACATATCCTCTTACCCAAGGAATCAAGCATTCACGTAGTTCACCCAAACGGTCTCCAAAGGCCCTCAAACAAATAGAAAAGTCTGTAACTCTTCACCAATATCATCTACATCCACATGCAAATGATCTCCAATTTGTGTCACCTCAGCTGGAATCCCAAACAAAGCAGTATGATATGGAGTATGTGGAGTAATCTCCACCCAAATGTCGATATCTACTCATCAAATCGGCTGCATCAAAACTGGCTGCCTACGTATCCTCTTATCCAAGGAATCAAGCATTCACGTAGTTCACCCAAACGGCCTCCAAAGGCCCTCAAACAAATAGAAAAGTCTGTAACTCTTCACCAATATCATCTACATCCACATCCAAATGATCCCCAATTTGTGTCACCTCAGCTGGAATCCCAAACGATGCAGTATGATCTGTTGCGATATCCGAACGATATGATCAACACTCTTCACCTTTCGAGAGTCAAAAGTAACATACCTTCTCAGAACAAAATCAGAAGCTCCCAACTGATAATCAAATGAGACTTTGAACCCCAAACGCGCAATCGAATCAAATATCACATCCTCGATGTGACCAAATGCTGGACAACCAAATATCCGACGCCGACCAAAATCTAAAGCAGCTCCACCAGATCCAAAATCACTAAATGCAGCAGTCAGCAACCTATGACTAAGATGACCCAAATATGTCAAATTTCCATAACCAAAACCAATGCTCGACAACCAACACCGATCCCCCTCCAGAAAGGAACAGCCAATCAAAAAATATCATCTTATCTCGTCGCCCTAATATTTCCTCTCCAATGAAGTATCTCAAACTACCGTGAGCTCGGCACAAATGTAAAAATAAGTCTCTCTTGTACCTTCCTATATATTAGAATGAAATATCTTCACCTTTCTGCCAATACACTTCTTTAACTATTGTTGACTACTAGAACTTCAAAAACCAACAGGACTTGGTTACAACCCACAAATGCATAGTACAATCCCCAACATAAAAAACCAAAATACCAATTTACCTTTCAATGATGGCTCCTTGGAAGACCCCCAAATGCCTGAATGAACACCAAATAGAAGACCCCTCAATCATCGAATAGAAGTGACAAACTCCATCTCGGTCTCCTTGCTCATACCAATGTGCTCAAAGGACTTCAATATGCAGGTCAAGGCACTTCTCAATAATCCAATGCACTGTATCAACAATCAAATATCCTAGACTTAAATCTTTCTATCTCGGCCAACTATCTCAAAGCACCAACAAATGAAGAATAGATCCGAACTGGTAAAAGAGAGAGTTTTAGCTCCAATTGAAACCCTAACAAGAGTCTTCAAATGATCTCACCCCGCATGACGGCAATGAGATTCACAAATAGAAAAAATCCACCTTTATCTCCAAACGAAGCCCTCGACGAGCCTCCAAAGCGATCTACTCCTCCAAATAGCCCAAGCGCCAACAAACCAATACGGAACAAACGAAGAATAAATCCAAACTGAAAAAAGATAGAGTCTTTACCAAAAAGATCTCATCTTTATTACCAAATGAAGCCCTAGCCGAACTTCCAAAACGATCTACTCCTCTAATTAGCCCAAGCATAGTCCGGTCTCTGGTACCACTTGTTGTGCGCGCGTGCTCTGCGGAAGCCAAACAACTAAATAACGTGCTTCGAGAAAACCAAATACCAAATGTCGAGATAAAGGCCAAAACAATCCAAACAACGAGACAAATCCAAACACAATAGTTTAACATGGTTCGGCAAATTGCCTACGTCCACGGGGCAAGAAGGGGATGGGCTTTTCACTAATAAAGAAGAAGAGTACAAACTGAGATTACAAATCACTCGAAGGAACAAACTAATCTCATCAACAAATCTCTTAACCTCTCCAAATAAAACCCGAAACAATAGCTCAGAAAAATCTCTCTTTTCTGTGCACCAATATCCCCAAACCAATCTCCAATCATAGCCAAAGAAACTCTAATTCGTATGTTGGTATTTATAGCAAATACCAAATCCAAACTGAACAGGAAACCAACTTTGGGCCTGACCCGATACGCGGTCGACCGCCATGGTCGACCGCGATAAACGACAGAGCCCAAAAAATTATTACAGGGTCTCGCGGTCGACCGCAACGGTCGATCGTGCCAAGTCCAGGATCAAATCCCGGATCCGTGCACGATTGTGGTCGACCGGCCTTGCACCGCGGTCGACCGTACAGCACCCAAACAGACTCCCGCACTTCCAAAACCTGTTCTGATCAAATTTCTCGCCGATTCTATATTTATGGGTATGATAAGTGCTAAATTTAGAATGAATTATAATTGACCATTCAATAATATTGGATGATTGTGATTAAAAGTAGTCGTCTATGCATTATTTTATTATCGCCGATTGATTGGGAAAAAGATAGATTGGGTTGTGGATTTTGAAAATTTGAACATGATGGTGTGTTGGGTTTTTGAGCGTACTTCAAAATTGAGTGTTATCTTTAGTCTTTTATATATATACGTGTATGTGTAGAGAAAAATATAGGAACTTGGTACCAAGCACAAATTTTGTACTTGGTAGTAAGGTGTCAAATTCTCATCCACTTCCAAACCCATGTGAATGTGGCCCCCCATTTAAATGAGTGGAGGAGAATATGTCACGTCATTACCAAGCACAAAAACTTGCGCTTAGTATCAAGTTCCTCCATATTACTCATATATAAAAAATATGTATGCTTGGTACCAAGCATAAATTTTGTGCTTAGTAGTAGTGAGGTGTCAATATTCTCATCCACTCATTACAATTCTCAACCACTCTCCCAACCCATGTGAATGTAGACCCATGAATTCTCATTGAGTGGAGAAGAATATATCACCTTACCAAGCACAAAAATTTATGCTTGGTGCAAGCATATCCAGCTTTCAGACAAAGTTTTTATTAGTCCGTAGGTACCTCACACAACATGCGCACAATAATTAATTCCTGAATTGACTTTTTCTCTCAGAACTTTCCGATCTACATATCAATGCTTACTTGATATCTCAAACGTCCTCTTCAAATTACGCTGAAGAGTACCGGCCATGGAGATCAATTCACCAGTATCAGATGTCCCCGCAGAGCAACACCAAGGCAAGGGCCTTGAAAACTTCCTCCGGTTCTGGTACCAAAAAGAGGCTCTCCCAGGCATAACCGCGGTCCGCGAGCTCTTTGCTCCTCGCCCGACCGACATAATCCTAGCCTCCTATCCAAAGTCCGGTGCTCAAAGCCCTCGCATTCGCAACCATCAACAGAAACATCCACAGCCCCCGTGACCCCAACCACCCTCTCCTCCTCGCCCACCCTCAACATTGCGTCCCGTTCTTAGAAAGCCTAGCCCGCAGCGCGTCGGGCCCCGAAGACCTCGAAGCCCTTCCGTCGCCCAGGCTTTTCTCGGCCCACATATCGTATCAGCTCTTCCCTGGCTCCGTCAAAGCCTCCGATTGCAAGTTCGTTTACGTGTGCAGGGAACCAAAGGACACGCTAGTCTCGTCGTGGCATTTCTACAGGGGTGTAATGTTCAGCTTGGACCATGACAAAACATTGGATAAGTCTCAGTTCAAGGAGGTGTTCGAGTTGTTCTGCGACGGGAACTATCCCTACGGGCCGATATGGGACCACTGGTTGGCGTACTGGAACGAGAGCTTGGCTCGGGGCTCGGCCGTCCAAGGTGTTGTTCTTGAGATACGAGGACATGAAAAGGGACGGGGTTAATGCGGTGAGAAGGCTCGCGGAGTTCCTTGGGTGCGCGTTTTCGGAGGAGGAGGAGGAGGCTGGGGTTGCGGAGGAGATCGTGAGGCTGTGCAGTTTCGAAAAGTTGAGTGGGCTCCAAGTGAACAAGACCGGGGAGCTGGCTCTCAGTAAAGAAGTTATTACTAAGAAGTCTTCGTATTTTAGGAAAGGGGAGGTTGGAGATTGGAAGAACCACTTCACCAAGGAGATGGCTGAGAAGTTCGATGGGATCATCGAAGAGAAGCTGCGTGGATCAGGGCTCAGCTTTCTCAGCGCCGAGTAGTGGGGTTTCAGTATGGACCTCTATGTTCCCTGCTAATTCTCTCTCCGCTTCAATAGCTGCACGCCGCTGTTATATTTACAAGTGTTTGTATTTGTGTCTACTACATATGCCTGATTGATGATGAGAAGTGGTTGTTATTTCGTTTGAATCCCAGTCTCACAAGCAAATCTGTGAGAGCTTTGTTTTGTGTTTTACTACCCAATAAAGAAGTGAGTGGTTAATTGGTTTTTCGTTTGGAAACCAGCTGTCTAATTTTCTACTTTCTGATTTCATGAAGTTGTTTGGGCAATCAAATTGATATGGCTTGGGTTAGTGGAAGAGGTGGGCAATCAAATTGATATGTCTACTACAAATTTTCAAAATCAACCTTTTTACCATTTTTATCAGCAGAACCGACCATTTATGAAATTATTCAGCAAAACCGACCCTTTTCTTTTGAAAAAGGTCGGTTTTGCTGGCGGGGAAATTTAACGAAATACATGGGACTGCTAGTCCCGTGTATTTCGACCCTGCTTTGAATTGTACGGGACTAGCAGTCCCGTGCAATGGATTCGTGCCCTCATTTACTTCACCCGTGACTCCTCAACCACATTTCTTTCACCCGTCAAACCCATTCAATCCCATTTCTTTCACCCGTCAAACTCCTCAACCCCATTTCTGTCTCGACGCCGCCGACCCCCGCCGCCGACCAAGCAAGCTCTGACCACCGCCGCCGACCAAGGTAATGGTGTTTTTTTGTTGTTAATTTTGTTTAGCCATGAAATTTCCTTTTTAGTTAAGATTTGGGATTATGGTTGAGATTTGGGAATGGATTTAATTGAGATTTGGGATTAGGGTTGAGATTTGGGAATGTATTTAGTTGAGATTAGGGAATGTATTTAGTTGAAATTTGACTTTAAATTAAGATTAATATTTTCATTTATAATAGATTATTTACATATGATGGACTGTTTATTTTTAGTTTCGATGGCAAACTCTATACCCATTATTTACTTCTTCAATGGGAGCCTCGACGTCGGATTGAATAGTATGCTGATGTATGAGGGAGGTTCTAGGAAAATATTTATGCTATCTAAGTCATTCAATTTTGATGGAATGATGAATGAAATACACAGAGTTACGAAAATTAATAAAGCAGAGTATGCAATTAAAGTGTTCTTCAATTGTCCGATAAATGAGAGTAGAACTATTGTTGTGGCGATTACCGACGATGAGGAATTGAATGACATGAAATAATTAGTGGAGAAGCAAGTGTCAGTTGAGTTGTTCATTGAGAAGTATCCGATTCAAGAATTTGCCCAAGTTTCACGACCTCAATGAGAGTTTTCTCGGATGCTGGACTTAGACAATGAGTCGAGTGGTTTTATGACATCTCCAAGTTAAGAGTCGTGGTTTCAACTACAACATTTAAGTGAGCATTCTCTTGGTAGGACGTCAAGTACTATATTTAACGACGCATCGGGCTATGTTACAGGTGATCTACCGGCCAGATCAATTGTAGAAGAAGAAGTAAATGATAACTCCGAAGATATTGAAGAAGAAGGCGTGCAAATTGATAGCATGCATGTGGCAGTTGGAATCGATGATGATTCTCGTTGGATGGAACAATTTAATGTTAACAATGATTATGCGGAAGCTGAAGATTCGTTGCCCGACGAGTTTCATAACGAAGATTGGATAAATACTTTGCAAGCTGAATTTGTTGATGTTGGTCCAAATTTTCAACGACCTAAGGACTTCACTTTTAAAAAAGGGGACCTATTCGAGAGCAAGAAAGCATTGATCTTTGTGGTCCGAGAATAGTCTATCAAAAATCGGGTCAAATTCAAGCCTGTAAAAACTAATGCAACCAACTACTATGTAAAATGTTATTTCAACGAGAAGAATGAAGTAGAGCATGCAAATGAGTAAGATGAGAGAAATAGGAAATGTCCTTGGTTGCTAAATGCCGCTGTGAGGAAATCATCAAATAGGCAATTTGTAATATCTAGATATTGCAGGCTTCATACATGTTGTAATCTGTCGGTGGATGTTGATGGTTATTCTGCATCTTCCTTTTATATATGTAAGCTAATTATGCCTGAAGTTAGAGTTGAACTTGATCTAAATGCAGGTCATATATTTCAAAGGGTATATGATATGCGGGGCATTAAGATATCTAAATATAAGGCATATGATGCAAGGAGGAAAGCATTGTCTAAAATATTTGGAGATTGGGAAAAATCTTATGAATTACTTCCACAGTATTTTGAAGCTATTAAGTAAAATAATCCGGGTACTGAATATGAAATATTGTCTGAAGAGATTACACCAGGGATTGAGAGGTTCACTCGAGTATTTTGGGCATTTGGTCTTGCTATTAAAGGCTTCACTTTTTGTCGTTCGTTATTGAGCATTAACGGTACGCATCTATATGGAAAGTACAAATGCGTGCTTCTTGTGGCGACCGGTGTAGATACAAATGGCGGTTTATTTCCTCTAGCATTTGCAGTTGTGGAGGTAGAGGATACTTCTAGGTTGAAGTGGTTCTTTGAACTTATATACAAGTGGATTCCTAGTGTCCGTACACCCAGATTAATTACTTTCATCTCGGATAGGATGAAAGGAATTATAAGGGCATTACATGAGGGTTTTAGTGCACCACATCACCATCGATATTGTTTAAGGTATATAAGAGATAATTTTAAGAAAAAGCACGGTGAGATTAATTTGCAAAATCTTTTGTGGTAAGCTGGGTGTGCAACCGATACATTAGTGTATGAACATTGTAGAGAGAAAATCAAGTCTTTGTCATTAGATGCACATAATTGGATTGAACATAACTTGAAGCCTCAATTCGAGCATCGATAGGCATTATGTAAGGATGAGGGTGTGCGATTGGATTGAACATAACTTGAAGCCTCAATTCGAGCATCGATAGGCATTATGTAAGGATGAGGGTGTGCAGTTTTACATGATGACAACTAATTGCTCCGAGAGCTTTAACGGTGTTCTTAAAGGAGCACGAACTATGCCAATATAATCATTGGTTGCAAGAACGTTCTATAGGCTAAACTCATACTTTAACAAAAGGCGTGGGGATGGCGTAGACTGGACAACGCGTTACACACCAAAAAATGAGTCTATTTTGCATAGAAGAATTGAGGCGACAAGATTATGTCAAATGACTGTATTCAATGATAATGAATGGCAGGTACAGGATTATGACGGTATCTACACCGTTAAACTATTTGATGTTGATTGCACTTGCACATGTAACATACCACAACTCCAAAAAATACCTTATGTACATGTTCTTGTGGCTTCTTCCAATCAGCCTGGTGGTGCGAGAATTTCATATAATCGGTATTGTTCATCATGGTATTCAACAATTCATTACCAAAAGACATACTGTGAGAGTTTTCATCCACCCGATGATAGTCAGTATTGGCCCGAATATAGTGGACCACGACTAATTCCACCTCAATACAAGAGACAAGCAGGTTGATCACGATCTGTGCGAATTAGGGGAACCATGGATCAAGCACGAGAAGGAATTGTCAAGCATAAAAAATGTAGTCTTTGCAAACAACCGGGACATACTCGACCTTGTTTTCCAGCTAGACCCAACAGTTAGCAATTAATTGGTAATAATTAACATATTCAAATTGTTATTTTAATATAGAAACTATAGTTATTATTCGTGGATCGGTTATTGATATGTTATAATTGTATGTGCATGTATATACACCATGCAGCCTGGACCGGTTAGTGATGAGGTCCTATATGACCAGCCTCAATATCGTTCACATGTTATATCCTTTACAGAGGTAACTAAGTTTCTTATATTTTCAATATTGCATTCTTATAATATAGCATTCTTATATATTCATTTGCTTTACAGAGAGGCCCAGATATTGTTGTGGTTGATCATAGCCTCGGTCATAGCCATTGGCATCTAGAGGATGAGCGCATAATAGTAGTTGTAGGACGGGCCGGCTTCTTGACATGTTCCCAGCTTCGTTGGATGAGGCTCGATTGGCCCCTACTAACCGCTTTGATAGATAGGTAGAGGCCGGAGAATGAGGCTCGATTGGCCCCTACTAACCGCTTTGATAGATAGGTAGAGGCCGGAGACCAATACTTTCCACTTCGAATGGGAGAGTCTACCATTACGCTACAGGATGTAGCTATGATACTTGGTCTCCGCATAGATGGTCCTTGTGTTATCGGCAGTGATAGACATTTTTGGCCGGACAAGTGTGCGAAGTTGTTAGGTGTAGCTCCAGAGTCAATGTCTGGAGGAAACATTAAATTGAAGTGGCTAAAAGAGACCTTCTCAGGGCCGTTGCCTTTTGATGCGCCACTAATATTGATTGAGCAACATGCACGTGCATACATTATGCACATGATCGGTTCAATATTATTTCCAGATTCGAGTAAAGATAAAGTGCATGCTAGGTATCATTTTTATCAGTATTTACAATTATGCCTATTGAATTAGCTTATTTTGATAACTTGAAATGTTGTGAAAATGCTAGGTGGTTACCACTTATTAGGGACTTGGACACGTGTGGTGCGTTATCGTGGGGTAGTGCGGTTTTGGGGTACGTATATAGAGAGATGTCCAAAGTTGCATTCATGAAAAATAGTGACTTTAAAGGGTGTCTCAGCTTACTGCAAGTATGGGCATGGGAGAGACTGCATTTGAAGCCGAGACTATGCGTGAATTTACAATTAGACGGACAAATTCCACTGGGATGCATGTATTATATTTTTTTAACGTAGTAAATATAACTGTAGTTATTATTTTGGTACTGAATTTTGAAAATAACACAGATGGAATGTCCAAAAATGTTATCATGAGATCCCGGCTAGACAATTAGATTTCTACCGAAATGAGCTTGACCGCATGAAGATTTTTCAGGTATCATTTCTATAAAAATGAGTTTTTTCTTTCATTTTATTGATATGCAACAATTATATGTAAAACTCTGTAGATGGAATGGGAGCCCTACACCCAATTTCTCAATCATCTACCCCCGATATGCACAGAATACCCAGTTATATGGAGAGCTAGAGTTCCTCTAATATGTTTCGAGATAGTAGAAATACATGTACCGGACCGCGTACTTTGACAAATTGGTCTTGCACAACATGTTCCGGAATTTGTTAAAAAAATAGAGAGGAAGGAGAAGAAAGGAGGCCAACAAAAGGACTGGGCAGCTGAGCATTAAAATTATATAC